GGCTCCCACCCGGAGCCCAGGCAGTTCTGCACGCGAGCTCCCGGCTCGCAGCCAGGAAGGCAGGAGAGGCAGCTGCGCGACCAGCACAAGCTCATGGCTGCCAGGAGAGCTGCTGCCCGCCCGCTGCCAGGCTCGCGTTAAAAGGCCTTGCTGAGTCAGTGCCAGGGTGTGATGTTTCTGTTCTTCAGGTGCCTAAAGGAAAGCGTAAAAGGCTGGCGTGGCTCCCCTGGCATCTCCAGCTCTGCCTTTTGTACCTCACTCATTCTGGGCATGGCTCTGAAGTGGGCTGCAAACCGGAATGCACGCTGGGCGGTTCTGCAACCCCCCACTGGTTCTGGCCTCAGCTCCCCTCCACAGTTTTGTTTTTTTCCTGGAGGTGAAGTGGCACGTCTTCGTGCGAAGGAAAGCCTGAGCAGGTGCCAGGCGTCTGGCTGCCAGGAGAGGCCTGAATGAGCACATTTCAGGATCTGGGGGGGTTCTGTCTCTCCCACAGCGACTGCCCCACTTCTAGAAGTGGGGGCTGGAACCCCTCTCTCGCTGCCAGTCCAGCGCAGCAAGCCCCTGCTCCAGCTGGTGAAGCAGTTGGTGAGGCGTGCTCCTTGGGTTGCTTCTGCCTGCTGCTTACCATGCCTTGCTTGAGGGCTGCGTGCCCTGGTGGCATCATTGCCGTAAGGAAAAGAGAAGGGTGGCTGTGACATCGCATTGCCGTGACAGGAGGAATTTAACGCATTTAAAGCTGCTCAGAAATCGTGCTTGGAAATGAGCACACGTTGGGTGTGATTCCCAGGCACCAGGGTCAAGAGGGCTGTTTCCAGTTTGTGCGGCGTGCCCGTAAGCCATCTGCAGCAGGATCCTGCACTGCAGCGCATGGCACTGCAGCATCCAGCCATGCTCTTGCGGACAGGAGCAGCTCGTTCCTCACTCTCTTCGGCAGGAGGGAAGTGGCCTAGGGCTGGCAAAGCTTTCTTCCCAAGAGTAAGGAGCGAGTGAGCCCCTTTCCTGGTATTGGCTGCTTCCCCTGGGAGCTTGCTCAAAAGGGGCAGCCATTCCTGGAGTGCCCTGCAGCTGCGGCAGTCCTTCCCAGCCTGCTGCAAGCAAGCCCAGGTCAGAGATCTGCTCTTCCTCAGATCGGAGCCGAGGTCTCTGGGGTCGCCGGGGAGTCTTCTCTGGTTGGGAACCACAGTTGCAGCTTCGTGGTCTAGAGCAACGCTTTTCCCATCCTGCTGTTCAGCCAGCACTCAGGGAGCAGTTCTGAAAAGGTCACGACACAGCAAGGGAAAGCACTCAACTGGGATTTTCAGAATCAGAGAGTCACTAAGGTTGGAAAAGACCTCTAAGATCATCAAGTCCAGCTGTCACCCCAACCCCACCACGCCTGCTAAACCATGTCCCCAAGTGCCACATCCACACGGGTTTTGAACCCCTCCAGGGATGGGGACTCCCCCACTGCCCTGGGCAGCCTGGTCCAATGCCTGGCCACTCTTTCAGGAAAGAAATTTTTCCCAATATCCAGTCTGAACCTTCCCTGACGCAGCTTGAGGCCATCGCCTCTTGCCCTATCGCTGGTTACCTGGGAAAAGAGACCAACCCCCATCTCACTACAACTACTGGTAGTTGTGGACAGCGATGAGGTCTCCCCTCAGCCTCCTCCAGACTAAACCCCAGTTCCCTCAGCCTCTCCTCATAGGACTTGTTGTCCAGACCCTTCACCAGCTTCGTAATAATAAGGGAATAACAGGGAAGGATTCGATGTGTGGGATTGTTGTATTTTCAAATCGGCAGCAAAGTGTGTTGGACAAGCACAGTCGTGTTACTTGTCTGGAGCCCTAGCAGAGACTTGTCCTGTGCCCAGTCCTGCACCGACAGCACTGCCACAGCTCGACACGTCTGTGAATTGTGAATTTGTGTTCCCCGTGGATGAACACATGTATGGTGAGGAAGCCAGTTCAGTTTATCTTCTTTTCACGTTCTGCCTCTGTGGCATGGTGGGGAAGGCTTGGCAAGTGCAGTCTGCTAGTGCTGTTGGGGATCAAGACGGGGTCCGGGTGGGCCGTCCCTGCCTGACGGTGCCAGGCTGCTTGGGCTGCGTGCCGGCCTTGCTGTGGTCCCAGCCCCTCGTGCCCTCCTGGCACCTAAGGCCAGCCCCGCCCGC